TCTTTATTCATTTATTTTAGTTTTAACATTCTCCATTTAATCATTTATTCTTGTGTTAAATTCTTTTTAGCCACAATTGTAATTTGTAATGAGAGTACCTTTCTTCCTTCAATAGTATCTTTCAACTTTATTTTCCTCCATATGATCCCTCTTAGTCATTTTAATTCATTTTCAGTTTCTTTTTTTTTTCATATGAGTTGCATTCTCAACTTCGTTATCATTTTTGAGTTGTTTAACCATTTATTCATTTATTATACTTCTTTTAATTTTCATTTATTTATAATTACGCCTTAGTTGTACCCATTTTCAGCGATTTTTGATTCAAAATGAATGTTGGGTGTACATCTTTAAACTTAATAATAATATCATTTTTTCCATTTAATCTTTCTCGTGTTAGTTAAAGTGATTCTCAACTTTTACTTTTTATTTTTGTGCTTTCATTTTTAGAGCCTGTTTAATAAAAATTAATGTTTAATTCGGAATGCTTAAAACATAATAAGAAATACTAAATTCATTAAACAGTTACTGAATAAGCAATAAGCTAATTTTTATTGCTCATATTTTGTACTTGAGTTTCAGCACCACTTATTAATCTAATAAGTGGTTCAGTCTTTGTTATCAAACATGCTTAAATCAATAAGCACTATGGAATAATTTTAAGCAATAAGTAGTGTTATCAAACAATGGAAATTATATATAATCTCTTAACAATAGAAATCAAAGAAAATAGTACTTCTAGCAATGATAGCCCAATATCCTTTTCCAATCCAAACAAACAATTAATCAAAAATAAAAAAAATAGTGATTTTGCCACGACAATTTTTAGCATCCCCGAAATTGTCCCGATAAAGTCATATCCTTCCCTGATATTCGGTCAGTTAATTCATAAATTTCATAAAATTTATATCTTTCTCTCTCTACTTCCCCCGTCGGCATTCTTTTTCTCTCCTCTCCGGCTGGTGGCCAACATCGTTTATTTTTCTTTGTGGCCAGCAACATCGTTTAACTTGTTCGACATGATGTTAACGGAGTAATCGATGCATCGGATAATTTAGATCAGCCAGAGCTTTTGGACGATTTGGGATTGGGAGGAGTTGTGGGTATTTATTTAAAATTGGATTGCTCGAATCTCAGGAGAGATATACAACTGCAAAATTTTTTGAGGTGATGAGGAGTCAAAATTTATTTTGGCTTATATATTGCTTTGGAGCTTCGGAATGCATTATTGCTTTGGCGTGAAACCTTGGAATCTATGGGAATTCCACTCTTGGTAGATCTTGTCAATCCATAGCTGGCGGCGATTTTTCTTTCACTGACCCTTTAACGCAGTTTGACATTCTTAATTGCTTCACAAATTTGTAAGTATTATGATGCATTACAAGCTGATCCTCTTCTTTCTTAAATTAAATTTTTTTCTCAAGATGTTAGTCGGTGTAGTAGTTATGGCGAGTGCTTCTGTATCCTAATTCATGAATTAGTTTCTTAAAATTGGGATGCTTCTGATTGTGGTAATACTCTTTGTACTAAATTACAGGTGGTAAATTCTGAACAATAGCAGATATTCTCATCCAGAAAGTAAAGTTAGTATATGTGATGAATATGCATTTTTACCTGTTGAAAGTTTAAATGTAACACTGAGATATGATGAAGCTTTAAAAGTAATACTGAGATATGTTTCTCCCCTGTATTTTCTACTAAAGCTAGAGATTGATCAGGAGTTATGTGCTAGGTATATGTTTAGTGACATTTTGTTGTTTATTCTACTGATATGATTGTCAATTCAAAAGCTCTTGCCGTTCCTTGCATATGCACTATATTCTTTTCATGTGCTCCTTTTACTCTCAAATCAGAAGCATTTGCTGGTATGGATGTTATGATTCAACATGTAATTATATGGATCATTCGTCTAATTTTACTCTTTGCTCAGTGTATAAAGATCTTTTGCGTGCCTTGTTTGTTGGGCGGAATTCTGAAATTCTAGGATGCAGTCACCATTGTAATGGTCAGCAAAGTAAAGTCTTATTCCTGTTTAGCTTCTGGTTTTGTATTTGTACTTCAATGCAGTGCCACCAGTAGGTCTAATTTGAGCTTATTAATGAGTGTAGTTAGAGAAGTAGCGGCTTATTCTTGGTTCGGTTTTCAGAAAGAATTACTCCACTATTAATATTTAACTTGCGGTTGGAATATCTTGTGCTCATCCCGACAAGCTTGTTCTCTTGCTTGGAGATCACATAGTATTCTTCATTTTGCTAGCAAATTTCTAATGCAGAAGCAACACATGGTTTTTTTGCTTTATCCTTTTTGCTTCATATGTTATGCTAGAAAAAAAAATGGAGGGAGAGAGATGAGAGCTGATTATTTTGGAGGGAAATATGAGAGAGAATATGTGAAACGGGATTAATGCCGGAGATCAGGGAGAGATATGAAGAATAAGGGAGAGAGATGAAGTTTGACTTTATCAAGGGCACTTTTGGAAGATTTGTCCTGGACCCAAAATAAAACCCCAATGGATGACAATTAATACAAAATACATGTGGCGTAAGTGGACAAATTATCTGGTACACCCGGGAGCATCGTGTACCCCCCTGCGCGTTTAATTCACCCTCTTAGAATAGTGTGAGTTCGCTAGATAATTCATCCTTCTTTTTCTTTTTTTTTTTAAACGCTTGTGGATAACCAGTGTTCACCATGTAGATAACCAGTGTTGGCACTATGGATAACCAGTTACACACAGCTGGATAACTATTATTAACCTATTGGATAACCAGTATGAACATAATGGATAACCAGTGTTCATATTATCGATAACCAGTTACACACAGCTGGATAACCAGTTGCCAAATTTTATTTTTTTTCCTTTTATATTTTTCTTGGATATCCTTGTCCGTATTTTTACACTGGTTATCCAGCTGCCCTCATTCATTTTTTGTTCTTCATCATTTGGCAAACTTCCCCTCATTCAATTAAATACTATTTATGAAATTTGTCATGTTCAGCATGGGGGCGGCACAGCCACGAAAGGCGAAGCAGCCGCGGGCACCGGCGCAGCCGGGTCGTTTAGTTTATCATGGGGGAATTTATACAAGTAATTTGTGTCCCCTCTTAACGCAATAACATACTCTCCTTACACAGACACTCTCCTTACACACACATGAAAAAAGGATTACCTTAGCTACATTGGCGTGTTCGGCGAGACGGCGCAACCAGGGCAGATTGGTGACCTGCGATTCCGGTAGCCGTGGGAGTCGTTTAGTTTATCATGGGGGCGAAACTCCCCAATAAACATGTCGTTTGGATAGCCATTTTCTTATGGATATTTTCTTTTGTTATGTCTTTTTGGAAGCCCTCTCTGGATCCTTGTATTATTATGTCTACATAGTGGATAGGCATTGGTTACATATGGATAAGCAGTATTGAGGTTTTGGATAACAAGTATAAACTCATGGATAATCAGGTTAAAGACTGTACTTGCATTTTTTTTACTGGATAATCACTATAAAACATTCGGATAATCAGGTGTAACAAGTTGGATAACTAGTACAAAGATCCTGGATAATTATTACAAACGGTTGGATATTGCTGCACATTGGCTGGATAACCAGTACAAAAGTCCTGGATAATCAATACAGAGCATTGGATAACCAGTTTACATCTTCTGGATAACCAGTATGAAATGGGTGGATAACCAGCATTTAATATAAAGGTGAAAAATGTTAAGCACGTGTAACGCGTGTGTTTGGTGGAGGTATACGGTATACCCGGGTGCACTGGATATGGACTCCCGTAAGTATTCGATATTATTAATTATACCACAATAAATTTTTAAACAATGCCTCATTTCTCAAACTTAACTGAAAAAAAAAAAAAGAATAATACTCTTCAGGTCAAAGTCAAAAGCTAAAGTTTATCTTTGATAAAAGATGTTCCAAAATTCAAATATCAAAATCAGCATAAATCTCAGAAAAAGTAAAAACAGGAGCCGGCTGTAGGTTGAAAGAATTTCAATGATGTCAAAATTAGAGTTTCTCCTTATGCCACAGAACCGCTATGTCTTTGTCTTTTATCAAGATTAGGACAGAGCAAAAGCAATGGCGACTACGATGATGACGCATACTCCGACTGAATTTGTCCTTGATGAGGTGACTATATTGCTGCAAACTTATCATACAAAAGAACCTCTCTGAGTCAATGTGGAATCAGCATTATAAGATGCATCTCAGAAGGCTATTTAATCTAGTGTGTTGATTTTCAAATTCAATAATAAGTTCTTCTATCAAAAGAAAGAATTGACTCGTATGCTCATATTACAACTGTGCTCAAAATCGATCATCTCCGGAAAGAACCGGCACCATAGGTCTCAGAACTTTACCACTTTCCTTGATTGATAATTTTATACAGAAACAGGAGAAAGAGCAACAGTCAGTCTTTGCGATTTATGTGAGAAAAGAAAACCAAATCAATTCACAATAAATACTTTGGAAAATTATTGCATCGAATAAAAAAAAAAAATCACTGAGGAGCAACAAGATTTTGCAGTTTGAACTGGAGGTGGAATATGATCTTTCTGATAAAATATTCAGATCGGATCAATCACGAGCAGAGATATGATTTGGTCATTCAAATTTCAAAACAAACTTTGTTAGGATTAGATGTTCTGTGCCCGAGATTTCATATCTCTATATCCGTGACCGAACACGACGACTGCAAGAGTTCTAATGGAGTAAAAATTCTGCCGAAAGGATTCCTGACGTAACTGGAAGGTTTTGATTTTTTTTTATTTTTTTCTTTCAAATGTATAAAACCTATTAAATTGTTACATAAGATTTAATCATATATGTCATAGGAAAAATTAATTTAGGCTTTCTCTCTGATTTTTGCTTTAGTATAACATATATAGATTTCTTTGGAATGAACAGAATGAGTGGTTTTTTCCATTTTCACCTCTAATACCCACTTAATACTGTCCGCAAAAAAATTAAAAAAAAAAAAAATCAGTATCTCACCACCACCAGTCACCAGAGCAAAATTCTAACCAAGGAGTAAAAGATTAGCTAAAATTTCACACAGCACTTGGCACATTTTCCAGTCAGGGAACAAATGAAAGAATATCTCCAGGGTTCAAATATATGTGCAAAAATCAACTCACGCTTTTCTTCTTTTCTACAATACAATTATGAAAAGGCATCACAACCTTGGTATTCAAAACCACAAATAAATACCACAATTTACAAATAGAAGAAAGAAGGTAAAACATATTTACTAACCATAAAATAATGGTCACCTAGATTTATGATCATTTTAACTATCAAATGCTCCAAATCTTCCACCAGAAACCACAGACCTTGAAATGTTTGAAGTTTGAACCCCTGGTGCCGCCTACACAGCTGTTCAAATTATCCACGTATATCTCCGAGTTTTATCGTGCCGGCTTTCTGTGAAGCTGGACTTCTGGATTAGGGAAAATCTGCTTTGGTTGGCTAATAAACTTCTAAAGTGACAAGGAAAAAGTAATAACAGAAATCAGGGAGGTGAAATCAAACAACAACAGTTTGACCAGTGAATCCATCCTGCAACTGCAGGGATCCATCTTTCATCAGATTAAGGCTCAAACTCTTGAACCTTTCTCTTGAGTACTGGCGAGATGCCTTTCTCCAATCAGTTCCAGTTTTCATCATCGCCACAAATTCATCATAGCTAATTCTTCCATCCTATACAATAAAATATTCATAATTAGAATGGATAAAGAAGGATTCTGAAGACCAACTACGGTTGGGCTAACAATTTTATCACACAAGCAAAATGATTTGAAGAAATTCCTCATTGAATGCCATCCTAAAAAGTTATAACCTTCTTTATCCAAATGAGCAGAACAGTTTTTGGTTTCAAAAGAGGTTACAACAAAGAACAAAAAGAATCTCATAATGCAACAGATTACGGAGGTGATGATATTTATACCTTGTCTATATCCACCTCTCGCATGATTTCATGGAGCACAGCCATGTCTGTCTCTCCCGACTCATCTGCTAAAGCTTCTCTCAGCTCATCCAGCTCAATGTGCCCACTGCCATCTTTGTCAAAGAACATAAATGCTCTGCGGAAGTGCTCATCATTCTCCACACGTTGCAAGTGGATTGTTACAGCTACAAACTCGCCATAGTCCAAGATACCATTTCCATCAACATCAGCCTAATAAGTGGCAGCAGAAAAATAACAACTTCAGCACAAATCTTATAGTCTACAGGTTGCCCTAATTCTAATTCACTGAAACAAGTTATCAATAGAGCAGTCTGCATGAAAAATTTTGAAGATCAGAACAAGTACTTTTAACATTTCATTTGCCTCGACTCAGAACTGCTCTCCTCAACATCCAGAAGAGAATGATAGAAATGAACAACTGGCCTCTTAAAACACCTATACTCAATACATATCATTCTCTCCCAGTCCCATTTGGTCAACACATGCTAAGTCATTTGCTAGAGTAATTATCATGCAAAAACATTTACACATACCTGGATAATATTTATAAGAAAAAGTATTAACAGACAAAAAGACATGCTCTTGTTTAAGTAAAGCATTAAGCTTGGACATTTTAAAGAGCAATAATGCAAAAATGATTGAATTTTTTAATGCCACTGAAAAGCCATTTTTTCCACAATGTAACAAGCAAAGAACTATAAAATACTTAGCCAATGACAATGAAAGGTTCAAATCAATACAAAAGTTCCAAAATCTCGTCCACAAAAGTTTCACTTTTCTAACTGGAATCATAAGCTACTCATAAAATTTATTTGAAAAGCAGGTTCATCAGGAGAGAAAATACAAATTTCAACAACTAAAGTAAGCAGATATTTCATAAAAAATGCACTTACAACTTCCATTAGCAACTTTATTTCGGGCTCCGCCAACTGCGACCCAACTTTCTTAAGTCCTGCTTTTAACTCCTCGAATGTAACTTTTCCATCATTGTCCGTGTCCATCAATGTGAACATATCTCTTATGACCTCCACCTCTTCCACAGACAAGTGTTCCGCAATCACCTGCAGATTTCACAGGGAGATGGTATTTTTCATCATAATGAAATTTCAACAAATATGCCATCACAACAACAGAAAGCACTAATATGACGGGTCAGAAAAGCTTTTCACTCAACAATTCAACTAGTACTGGTACATAAAATGCAGAGTCCTTATATTTTGTTGTTAGCTAGTAAATCAATGCAGCCGAGCCAACAAAAAAAAAAAAAAAAAAAAGATAAATCTATAGACTATCTTGGCAATGTGACAATAAAATAGTTCAAGTCAATGCCAAAGTTACATATACTCGTTAATATACAAAATAAAAACAAAAATTGAAGTCATGAAAGCTCACCCGCAGTGCTTTCTTCTTGAATTTATTCATAACAGAAAATTGCTTCAACCTTGACCTAACTATGTCACCTAATGGAACATTGGAAGCTCTCTTTGCATTTTGTATCCATGGGTGGTCTGACAATGGTAAAATAGATAAACAAAAAAACAAAAAATAAAATTAGAAAAGTCAATAGTTGATTGAAAATACATTCAGTGGCATCACAAGAGTCTCCAAACTAGAAATAACAGATAATCGAAAACAGAACATTTTCAAGCAGTTCATCAGTGGCAATTATTGTTTCATACGTTATCAGCTTAACTGGAAAAATCATAGGTTGGATCACATTATGCAAGACTTTAATAATAATATATTAAGTTTAAAAATTGCACTTCTGTGGATGTCACTGGACTTGCCAAAAGGTTCAGAAAATAAGGGATCCAAACTGGTTCAAACCGGAAGGAGTAACCAGGGAATTTCCACTCATAGGTTCCATCGTAAACAAGAAACGCGGAAAAGAAAAAAGGAGAGGAAGTAGAGATAGTAAATGGAAACACAATTTTGAAAATGACAAACTGCTAAGACAGTGGAGCTGGACAAAGCCAATAAAGAGAGCATCATGTTTTTGGATTATTTTTAGGAAAGACTCGGAAGGGTCCATTCTTCCCCAAACTGGAGGACGAAGCTCAAAGCAAATTATGCCAACTGGCACTTTGACATGGAGGACAGAAAAGCAGAAACAGGATATCCATGCTGGAAAGTAGACAGAGTATATGCAGAAAAACTGCAGAAATTGTCTAGAAACATAGCAAGAAAAGAATCACCGAGAATGGCCACACAGACAGGGAAAGAGACTACAAAGAAAACAACAATCAGCTTCTCCAACTTTTACGAATGGTTGGGTGGAGACAGAATGTTTGGAGAGTGTTAAGGTTCACCACTTACAAACTACCCAACCTAGTTTGCTTATGAAACCCGCAAAGTTCATTTTTAATTCAGTTAGTTGGTTAGCAGCAGCATTCTAAAGAAGATGAACACTACAAATTACATGCATATCAAGACACAGCTAACTAGAATTTAAAAGCACTGCCAGAGGAAAAACTGACTCGATCAAAGGTCACGTACTGAGCAGGCGATCATAGTCCTTTTAACTTATGGACATGATTAGCGAAGCATTAAACTACACCATTATTACGTAAGAGAAACAGTTGCAATTTACACGCAGTTAGGCACACCTCAAATCTAAGAATGGTAAGTTAGCTAGTGCTGGCAACACCAAACCGTGCAAGAACAAGAAGGGCTAAAATCTTGAAAGTGGTTTGGATATTTTAAAGTATACAATCAAAGTACAAACATTACTTTTCCAGGTTTCAAAACATCTACCACCAAAGTGGCACATGTTAATCGTGATAAATCGTTTTCTATTAGCACTTGATGTAGAAACACAGACAATAGGCCAATTTCAGCAACGTACGTACTCGATTTTTCTATATGAAGAGAAAGAGACTAACTAAAGCAGTGAGACACTATATAACGGACGACCACTAGTCACGTTCTGTCAATCTTGATAGACAAAACCAAACCAGGACTACTTGTTTGTTCTGAATAGTTACAAAGCAGCATTCATTCACCATTATTAGATTTCTTTCTGCCCAAAAGTAATGAAGTAATCTATACAAATGACAAAGAAGTTATTCTCTCAACAATCAATGAAACCAGAAATTAAAAGTGACCACATAGAAATTTGATTGATTTCCTCATGAAACCCCATAGTTTCTTTTGCACTTAATCCCCACTAAACTCTTCTATCAGAATATTGAGCTAAAACAAATTTGTCTAAAGACTTATCCTTCTCCACAGATAACTGAAGAAAAACAATGCCAAGCCAAAACAAAGAGGTTATGCTTACCAAGCACCTGCTGAGCAGTCAAACGTTTCTTGGGATCCATCTCCAACATTTGCCGAACAAGGCTTTTCGCACTTTCAGATATTTGAGGCCACGGTTCTCTTTTAAAATCAATCACTCCCCGAAGGATAGCTAGAGCAACACCCTGCTCAGTTTCTACAGCAGACAAGTCAAAAGGCTGTTAAATTTTGAAGGCAGCTCCTACAGTCAGGAACAGAATTGATGGTCCAAGTACCTGCCCAAAATGGAGGAACTCCGCAAAGCAAGATATAAAGAATCACACCAGCACTCCAAATATCCACCTCCTGTCCGTAGTTGCGCTTTAAAACCTCTGGGGCCATGTAGTATGGACTGCCAACAATCTCAGAAAACCTTTCACCTGCAGGTATTGAAATGCTTATAAAATGATCCACCTCTTCCATAAACAGCAAATGTTTTTATGAGAAGTATGCATTTCAAGTTACAACCCAAGGTTATAAACCTCAAAATTTATTACAATTAATAAGAATAAGAAATCATGATCAAACATAAACAAATAATTTTCTGAAATTAAACCCCACACACAGAAGGAAAGGAAAAGAGAAAGAATAAATAAAAATCATACCGGGCTTAAAAAACACAGACAACCCAAAATCAATAGCCTTGAGTGCAGAATTCTCCTTCTTATTGGCAAACAAGAAATTCTCCGGCTTCAAATCTCTATGCATGACACCATTAGCGTGACACATCCTAACCACTTCGGCAATAGTTTTCGCCACTGCGGCGGCGGCTCTTTCACTGTAATGCCCCCTGGCCACAATCCTGTCAAACAATTCCCCACCTTCACACAACTCCATAACCAAATGAACCGCCTCGTTATCCTCATAAGTAGCCTTCAATTTCACGATATTCGGATGATCAGGCAAACTCGACATGATGGCAACTTCCCTCCTCACATCCTCAATATCCACAGCCGTCCTCAGTTTCTTCTTCGATATCGATTTACAAGCCAGGGCCGCCCTGGTTTCCCTGTCCGTACACAAATAAGTGACCCCGAATTCGCCCCGACCCAGCTCCCTCCCCAAAATATACTTGTCCGAGATTTTAGTCCTCGGCATAAAATCCTTCAAAACCTTAATCGGAGCGGGCGATTCCGCATACGGGTTGGGTCTCCGCTCGCGGGCTTTTCTGGGTTTTGGGGATTTAGGATTACCATGTGAATCGGAGTGTCGATGTTTCCCGGACGAGGAAGCAGTAGAAGCTCCGTTGTCCGGCCTTATGCAGGCGTTACAGTTACCCATGAGTAGTGAAAGTGAAATTCACTACTTAGGAAAGAAAGGGTTTGAAGGGTTAAGTGTGTTTGGTGGATTCAGGACTTGGTTGGGTTTCTCCGCCGTCAGCGGTGGTGGAAATGGAGGAGCATTGGTGGAGTGGGGAAAGAGAGAGAAAGTGGGGGGAAAGAGAGGGAGTTTGGTGAGAGTGGAGAAAAATTGAGTAGAGAGAGAAAGTAAAAAAGTGATGATGAGAGAGAAAACGCGGGGCGGGGTCAGTTGAGGAAAAAGGTAGATTTTGAAAATTCTTTTTTTTTTATTTTTTTATTTTGGAATTTGTTACTATTTTATAAGTTTTTTTTTATTTTTTCGTTGGAAAAGTGATTGTTAGAATTTAGAAAGTAGCATGCGGTTTAAGCAATCGTCTTTTTGACATTCTTCTAACAGTGTAATAGTGCTTTTTCCTTCTTTACTTCTTTTTTAACATTAATACCATCCCGAAATGATCATATAAAAAATATACAAAGTGTTCCTTTTAAAAAAAAATGTAAATATATTGATATATAACTTTTATTGTCGTATTTTATAACAAAAAACGTCTCTTTCTATCCTTCTAACTAGTAGTATTAGTGTATTACATATTTTCTAACTATTCATCAATTACTGGGAACAGTACTCTCAAAAAATTTTGGATTTTTGCTAGTGTTCTTAGTTCCAAGACATAATTCAATCTTTCATTGCATTTCCTGTTTAATCCCCTTCAGTACGACCATTTTTTTCCTCCCAAATATGATAAACAATAGCTGCCATTACAGTTTGAAATATCTTCGTTTTCAACTTTAAATCTCTGCAAGCTTTTAACACTAGTGTCTCAAAATAAATAGAATATAGATGTTTTGTGCCTAAAGTTTAGTTATAACTTTCTCTCTATTTTTTTTTATTGAAAAGTTTACAATGTTAAATTTAAATATTACGTAAATGAAAGATTGATTAATACGTAAATAAAATTATTTAAAATTATTATCCCTTTTTACCCTATTAAAGCAGAAAACAGGATGCTGATGTGGCAATTTCTTATTAAAAGGTTTTGGCTCCAAATGCACCATATTGCATAAACCATTCTGCCACGTGTCACCCTCTTTTAAAAACAAAAAATATATTTACAATATTAACAAAGAGATCAGATGTCCATGTTCATTCCAATTTTGAATTGACAGTGAATGGAACTTTCCTTCTCCACTTATTTAGGATTTTTGAAAAAATTAATTTTCGATCAATCAATTATCTTCATCAAAAACTAAATTCATTACTAATCAATTTTGATTATTTACATATTAATTTATTTGGTGGAAGGACGCCCCCAGACATTTATTCATTTCTAATCAGTTTTAATTATTTACATATTAATTTATTAGGTGGGAGGACGCTCCCGGCATTTGCCCGGGGAAAGCATCTAGTTATATATTAAAGGAAAGAAAACAAATCGACACGTGTCGCTTTCTTATAACATCAACAATTTTCGATAATTTTTTAGGTTAATCGGTTAATCTAACTAAATTACTTATTTATATTTACTCATCATATATTTTTGTTTTTAATATTTTAAATATTAGTCATTTTAACAGTGGAAAAATCAACGAAGCTTAGAGGCCTAAATTGACAACACCTTTTATTACAAACTCCTTCGATGAACAAGCAGTGACTAGCCGGCCGGTGCCTCTCGTCCATTTGACGATGGTTACGGAGGTTATGATCCTCGCCTCTCCTCCCAGAGATTCGAATGGCTCTAATTTTGCAGAGATCGAGGACTCCCAAGGACGGACCCACGATGGGGCTTGGAGGGTATCAAGCCCATCCGCCCTACCGGCAAGTGTCATTTTTACCTCTTCTGATTCTCTTACCTCAGTCCTCTCGGATGTGGGGATTAAGGGGGCTTGAGCATTTCTGAATCTTAGATTTTGATGGCTGAAATTTTTGTTTTCAAAGTCCGCCGACGGCAAGAGCAGCGGTGGTGTCGATTTGCAACATTGCAGCGATTTGAGGTTGAAGATGATGGCTAATTTCAAATTTGGTCCTCATACTTTACCCATATAATATTTATTGCCACTTGTTACTTAAAAATTAAAATTCTTTCCTTCTGCTATAATTTGTGCCTTTAACATTTTAAAAAATATATGAAATTGACCACAACCTAAGTTCTTAATGCATTTAGGATACCAACTTTGGCAAAAATTATTTTAGTGTTCTTTTAACAAATAAAAATGAATTCAAAAATCTATTGTAAATAGTTGCGAATGCGTCTTACCTATTCTTTTATTAAATAACGTGAATTTATCTATTAATGGGAATGATTAAAATATAATACAAACATTATTTGAAATAATTTATAATAAAGTTTTTCATTATTTATTTATCTTCAATAAACCAAAAAAATTCTTTTAAAGCCTAATGGACGGCCAGCACCCCAAATCTCAATAGCTGGTTTCGCCACTGAGGACTCCGAATCCCGAGCTTTTACCTTGAAAATACAAAAGAATCCTATTGATCCGAGGAAGAAAAATGAAACAGTTGAACGAAATGGCAGAATGGATGAACGATGAATTATGAATGGCAGAATGGCGTACTATGAGCGATGAAAATTAGAACGACCAACTGTCACGGGCTGCTCTTTTTAATAGCAATCTGTGCGGCACTAGCTCACTCAAATGTATAAAGTGATGTTACATCAACCTATCTAAAGTAAAATCTGCAAGTTTAAAATAAGAAATTTAGGAGAAAGAAAGGTTCTTGACCTAACTCAAAGAAGACCTCTCAATTTGTTTAGAACCCTTTCAATTCTGCACTTATACAAATGAGGGGTCTTGCCATATTTATAGGTAAACCCTTAAGGTCCTAGAAGTTTCTTCCACCTCCTCTACATGAATTACCTCCAAACTTCTAGACAATTATTGAACATTAACCTAGCATTACCTAAAATCTTCTAGTTAATTCCACATTGTCCTATAATCTACAAGATTCTAGAAGGTTCTAAAAAGTTCTACACCATTCTAAAATATTCTATATATTTTTACGATGTTCTACGCATGCCTAAAATAATCTATAATACTCTAGAACTTTCTAAATATTTCTAGAAATGTCACGACCGTGAGACTCTCCCACACATGAATGGGGCATCGTCCCTGATCCCCTGTATGCCAACTCACCGTCTTCACGAACACTTTGAGCTATGGCAGCAAATTTACTACGATATGGGCACTCGCGAAACAAGTGAGACCTTCCACATAGAAAGCAACCTTCAAATTTTTTAGTTTTCTCCACTTTTGACTTCTCTTTGGAGGCGATCTTTGCTCCTTCAAATGATTTCGGATAAGACATCGTGTTGTTTTCTCCACCTGTGTCATTGAAAATTTTCTCACCCGTGGCTTTATTGTAATTCTTATTTTCAAACTCCACTAGAGATTCTACTATGCGCATAGCACGTTTAACATCTTCGACATCTGTCCGTTGCAACTCTAGTTTAGCCCAACGATTAAGGCCGTCCATAAACGTAAAGAAAGCTTCCTTAGATGAGAGATCTGGAATTTCAAGCATAAGGTCAGAGAATTCTTGGACATATTCCCGTATGTAGCCCTCCTTATAGTGTAAGCGACGAAGTTTGGCCCAAACTTCGACTTCAGCATCAGCTGGGAGAAACTGCTTCTTAAATTTCTCCTTAAATTCTTCCCAAGTTGTGAAAACTGGTGAGTCTTGGCCTACTAGTTTCATCATACGTTTCCACCAAGATAAAGTACTATCTCTTAAATAACAAGAGGCTTGATAGAGTCTTACCGAATCGTCCGTCAAGCCCATAGCGCCAAAGTACCTCTCAAGTCCGTAAAGGTACATCCCTCGTCTTGCAGCTACCAGTATACACATTTGGTTTTGGTACATCGACCAATGGAGTTGGCCCTCCAACTCTGGTCGTCCCCTGTGCACATAGAGCATCCACTCGTACCTTGAGTTGTTTCGTTTGTGCACGATAAGTCTCAAACTCACTCCTGAGTTTGAGCACATCACCTTGGAGCATGGGGACTATGGCTGCATTTTCCCCGCAAGCCTTAGTGACCCTCTCAAACACCTTGTTGAGTGCCCCTAAGCATCTCTTCACGTATTTGTAGCATGATCTCTTGCAATTCACCCTTGAATTGCTCCATGCATTCCTTAGAGATAATTTTCACTGCGAAAGCATCCTCTTCCCAATGATCTTGATGGTCGGCCACGGCTAACTCCACCTTGGCAAGCCGTTTCTCAAAGTCGACCACAGGCTCACGGACAACAGACTTGTCCCTACGAATAGTTCTCCTAGTCACCCTCTCTGGCTCCCTGGAGACATGGTCACCACCTCCCACCTCAACCTCTCCTAGGTTGGTGGCTTCAAATGGTGTTGCCATAATACTTAGCACAAGCAGAATTGTAGCTCGAACGAGGCTCTGATGACCAACTGTCACGGGCTGCTCTTTTTAATAGCAATCCGTGCGGCACTAGCTCACTCAAATGTATAAAGTGATGCTAGCTCAGCCTATCTAAAGCAAAATCTGCAAGTTTGAAATGAGAAATTTAGGAAGAAAGAAAGGTTCTTGACCTAACACAAAGAAGACCTCTCAACTTGTTTAGAACCCTTTCAATTCTACACTTATACAAATGAGGGGTCTTACCATATTTATAGGCAAACCCTTAAGGTCCTAGAAGTTTCTTCCACCTCCTCTACATGAATTACCTCCAAACTTCTAGACTATTATTGAACATTATCCTAGCATTACCTAGAATCTTCTAGTTAATTCCACATTGTCCTATAATCTACAAGATTTTAGAAGGTTCTAAAAAGTTCTACACCATTCTAAAATATTCTACATATTTCTATGATGTTCTACACATGCTTAAAATAATCTATAATACTGTAGAACTTTCTAAATATTTCTAGAAATGTCACGACCGTGACACAACGATGAAAGATAAACGGAAGAATGCCAATGTCGATGTGCTGACTGGCAAATGAGTGAATTGAGTTCTGGCAAGATTCTTTGTTCCGATTTCATATACTCTAATTCCGGTATGGATCGAGTTAATTGAGATTTGTATTTTGTGGAACTCATCATTTGATCATTTTGGCATAAAGAACAATGAATCTTGTGCACCGGAATGCGAGATTGGAGTTTAACGGTGGCTGATTCCTTAGCTAGCAAATTCCTTTTCGAGAGGTAGAAGATGATCAGTTTTTAAAATTATTAAAAAACCCCACCTCCAGAATCCCTTGCATGTAAAAGTTTAAACTTTTAAGTAGTTGTTAATAACTTTCATTA